AAGAGCAATGACTGCACTTCCAGAGGACTGGAGTTCGGTTCCCAGCACTTATACATCAGGTGACTCACAGCCGCCTAAAACTCCAGCTGCAGGTGGGTCTGACACCTTTGGTGTCTGTGTTAGCACCTGCTTCCCACATAGACACACACACACACACACACACACTCACACTCTTATATATGGGGGAGCTGGAGGAATGGCTCAGTTTTTAGAACAATGGTTGCTCTTCCACAGTACCAGATTCCTAGCTCCAGTCATCCACAGCTTCCATTCCAAGGAATCCAATGCTCTTTTCTCATCTCTGTGGGCACTGCACACATGTAGTACATGTAGTACAGAGATATATGCAGGCAAAACATTCATACACATAATAAAAGTCTTAAAAAATAAAAACATACATATTGACATGATCCATTCTTGTCTGTTACAAATTCTTAATATGTACATGTATAATTATCTATCTAATCTCATGGGAATAGAGAGATGGCTCATTGGTTACAAGTTCTTGCAGCTCTTACAGAGGACTCCAGTTCCCAGCACCCTCATCTGGTAACTCACAACTAACTCCCACGCTAGGTGATCTGATACCCTCTACTAGGCTCCATTGGTACCTACACACACATGAATAAAAATAAGTATTTCTTAAAACAAAATATACAGAGGAGAAAGTCAAGATTGCCAAATCAACTCAGTGGTATGAGACACTGAGTTCAGAATAATCTATCAGAACCATTAATCTATTTCATTGTTTAATTTGTTACACAAAATAAATCTTAACTTTCAGCAAACTTCTATCTGCAATCCACTTCCTTCTGTTTGAGTAAATAATGAATTATGCAAACTCTAGTGCTTAATGGTCTCCTCAAATGCCTATCAGGGTTGCAGGTGTGCCTCCTTGGTTGGTTGTCTCGCATGCACAGGGTTCAGTCTTCAGCCATGAATGCATGCATGCACAATTCAATGCATATTATATGCCATGTAGCTTTATGGATTGTATCCTGAGATATAAAAAGAATGCAAATGGGAAACTGATCAAATGTGAGCTAAAAGCTGGGGATGGGGCTGGTAAGATGGCTCAGCAGGTAAAACACTTGTCTTGCCAGCCTGTCGACCTGAGTTTGATCCCTGGAAGATTCATGGTGGAAAGAGAGAGCTAACTCCCACAAGTTGTCCTCTCATCTCTAATATGGCACATTTTTAAACCTCTTTAAAAAAAGGAGAAAGAAAGGAAGGAAGGAAGGAAGGAAGGAAGGAAGGAAGGAAGGAAGGAAGGAAGCAAGCAAGCAAGCAAGCAAGCAAGCAAGCAAGCCAGCCAGGCATGGTGGCGCATGTCTGTAATCCCAACACTCAAGTGGGTGAAGCAGGGTTGCCAAGAGTTTTAGGCCAGCCTGGGCTACACAGTAAGTTGCAGGTCAGTCAGAGCTACATGTCAAGAATTTGTCTCAAAAAAAAAAAAACAATAACAACAAAACCAACAAATGCATGTGGAGTTTAATAGAAGGGGGAGAAGAGAGGGAGGAAGGGAAGATGACAAGACAGAAACAGACATGGCAATAAACTAACCAGTGAAGGAAAAACAATGAAGGCTTTTTTAAAGCAACACATTTGCCTAGGTGGACATGTGGCTCCCTCTTCTGGTAGGTCTGATCCTTGCATGTACTGATGCATTAAATTTGTCTTCCTGGCTCCAAATACTGCCTTTCTTTCCTACTTTTAGGTTTGTTTTTGTTTGTTTTATTTTATGTGCATTGGTGTTCTGCCTGCAAGAATGTCTGTGTGAGGGTGTCTGATCTGTTACAAACAGTTATGAGCTACCATGTGGGTGATTGGAACGGAACCCAGATGCTCTTAACCTCTGAGCCATCTCTCCAGTCCCACACTGCCTTTCTTCCAGTGGCATCACAACCACTACAGCTTCCCATAGTTCACCTTCACAACTAGAATTTTCTATTGATATCCTTGTTGTGTGATAAACGGAACGAAACCACTAAGGCAGACTCCAGGTGTGTGTGTGTGTGTGTGTGTGTGTGTGCATATGTATGGGTGTGCACATGCTCGTGCTCGCCTTGTTATGGACTGAACCCAATGCCTCCTGTGTACTAGGCAAACACTCCTAAAACAATCTATAAAAACAACTCTGCTCAGCTGGACGTGGTAACACACACCTTCAACCCCAGTACTTGGGAGGGACAAACAGGCACTCTCTGTGAGTTTGAGGCCAGCCTGGTCTGCATAGTGAGTACCAGGCCAACCAGAGCCACATAGCGATGTCCTGTCTTGGGGAAAAAAAGGTCTGCTGTGTCTGACCTAGCAAGTCTCTGTTGACAGAGGCCAAAGCATGAAGAGAGGGCTCAGTGGTTGGAGCACTGACTGTTCTCCCAGAGGACCTGGGTTCAGTTCCCAGCACCCACGTGGAGGCTCACCACCTTCTGTAACTCCAGTCCAGGGATCCACTCTTCTGACCTTTGTAGGTACCATTATTGACTATGTGGGGAGCTGAGCCCAATCCAGACTATATGAGACCCTGACACAAAAGCATAGGGTCTTAATGGACCCTAGGAAAGCAAGAAAAGCCAATTCTTTTAGAACTTTATTTTTCCTAAACAAGTAACTTTAAAAACAATCTTTTGGACTGGTGAGATGACCCAGCAAGTACAGGTGCTTGCTACCAAGCCTGAATTCAATTCCTGAACCCCATTTTTATGTACAAGAGTGCTGACTACTATAAATTGTTCTCTGACCCCCCCTTCTGTGCAATCATACACGCACGCACGCACCTGTAATACAATGAAAAAACTCTTTTGGGGGGGAGACCAACAGGGTTTCTCTGTGTGGCCATGGCTGTCCTGGAACTCACTCTGTAGACCAGGCTGGCCTTGAACTCACAGAGATCCACCTGCCTTTGCCTCTCATGAGCCTGGCTTCCTTCCTCAAATTTTTATTGTGCAAACATACAGCTCTTTAATGAAGGATTGAGCTTGAAATACAAATTAAAAGTAGATGTGTCTTAACCAATGAATTTTGATAACATACATACACACACATTCACTGACTTCCACATAAGCACTGTAACACACACCCACTCATCCACACAATAATGTAAATTTTTTAAATACTTGTGTGTAAATAGATCACTCTTATGTGACGATTTTATTTATATACAGGCACAAACCATGTATTACACAACTTAAGTGTAAACCCTTGGATCCTCAAATTTACAGGCTGACTGCTCTGATCTGATGTAACAGAATTGGACTGTGGTATTCTCTCTACATTAAATTGTATTTATTTATTCACAGGCTATTTGGGCATGGAGGTCAAAAGGCAACTTGGAGGAACTGGCTCTCACCTTCCACCATGTGAACTCCTGGAATCGAACTCAGGTTGTCAGACGTGTTGACAAGCACCTTTAACTGCTGAGCCCTCTGGCCAGCCCCACTTACACATGAGTACTTTTTTAATGTACTTTTTACTCTCCACAGTCTTGCAACCACCTAATGAGCTCAAAACCTCATCATTCACTCCAACTTTTTTTTTAAGAAAGGAAATCATGATTTCCAGATGTAAACAGCAAGTACAACATTTTCTGCTGGCCATAGCTGCTAATTCAAAGTAATTGTATTGTTCAGTCCTTAAGAGCAAAAGCTGTGGGGAGTGGTGTGGAGCAGCAGGAACCTGGAAACTGAGTTCTTGCCCAGCATGCATAAGGCCCTGTGGTCCATCCCCAACACTACATAAAACAGGCTCACAGAGCATGCCTGTAGTCCCAAAGAAGGCAGCCTCAAACTCAGCTCTGGCTTCAGGAGTGCTAGGGTTACAGGTGTTCACCACCACACCCAGCCAGGCCTGAAGCACCGTGTTTCTCTACTATTTGTCTCAAATGTTTACACGTCTTCTCTGAAGCCATGTTGTTTTGTTCTGCTTCTGAATGATGCGTTACAGATGTGAGCCACTGTGCCCAGCTTTCTTGGTATTTTGGGACAGTCTTATTATTTAGGCCAGGCTGGCCTTCACTTCTAGGCTCTTCTGCTTCTCTGCATCTCAAGTGACAGGATCTTGAGTGTGCCACCATACCCAACCACAGATGGCTACTTTGCAAGGACTCTATGCACACCCAGAGGTTCACATCTTTTGGCTTTTTTGGTTGGGGAGACATGCTCATGTGGGGATGTTTATGCACAGGTATGTGGGCCTGATGAGTCTCAGCTGTCACTTTTCCACAACCATCCATCCTTTTTTTTTTTCAAATGTGCATTAATTGGTGTTTTGCCATGGGTGTCGGGTCCCTTGGAACTGGAGTTACAGACAGCTATACGCTGCCATGTGGATGCTGGGAATTGAACCTGGGCTCTCTGGAAGAGCAGTCAGGGCTCTTAACTGCTGAGCCATCTCTCCAGCCCCCCATCCCCACCCTCACCCCACAATCACCTTCTTTCATACAGGCCCTCTCACTGGCCTGGAGTTCACTAGTTAGGCTAGACTGGCTGGCCAACAAGCTCTAAGGACCCCATCACCTCCCTAGTGCTGGGATTGTAACAATGCAGCTACACTGGGTTCTGGGAATCAAACTCAGGTCAAGCTTGCACAGAAAGCAATTTCCTGTGTCCCTTGCCCTTGGTTTCATTTCCTGGGACATTCTTGCTTTGTAATCTAAATTAGCCTGGAATTTATTCATAGACCAGGCTGTGTTTAAACTCATGATCAGCACAGGCTAGCCTAGAACTCATACCTCAGCCTTCTGCATGCTGGGTGAATGCTACCACACTTGGCCATGTTGCACTGTTTCAGGACCTGTGAGAAAGAAGAAAGGGGGACAAGAGGGAAAGGAAGGAAAGTGGGAAGATAAAAGGGAGGATGAAAGGAAGAGGAGTTCAAATCTATCTTTGTGTTAGCTTTCTTCAAGTTCACGCGTCTTCATCAGTAAACTGTTTCACCCAGTGCTAAAGATGCTTAAATGTTAGGAAGATGGCGACATTAACAAAAAGACAAGGAAACATGAGCACACACAAAATAAAACATATTTATTATGCTAAAGAACAGATTTTATTATTTCCCCAAAACACTAAAATAGCCCATGGCATAGTAATTTAGCACACAATAAAATGACATATACAGTCAGGTCGCTTCCTCCCCACCACCAGGGCTGTTTTTTAACTTTCTCTTGGTTAGGGAGCTTTAAAATGTCCACTCTTTAAAGTCACCTTTATTAAAATTATCAACAAACCACAAAGGGAGAATTACTTTAGAAAAAATCTTAGGGTAAAAGATCACGAATCCTAGAGTCTGGGAAAAAGTAAAACACTTCATTTGTAATCTGTGTTCTGTCAGCAGAAAAGAGTCTCAAACTCTTCCGTGGTTTAAGATAATCCTAAATTTAATATTGCAACTTCTCCAAAGTGCTGCCGTTGAAAACTGCAATTCAAGCGGAAGGAAAGGAGCACATGAGACAGGATGTGTGGCTGCAGGTCAGAGAGTCCATACAGTGCAAAATGGCAAGACTCATCATGACCAGGGCCAGGCTTAGAAGAAGTGGAGGTGGTAGCCTACAGAGCTCCACTTGCATCAGATGGCCAGAGGTGAGCCAAGACAGGCGGCATCTGGGATGCTAGCCCTTTAGAATGGGTCTCCACAATAAAGAACTATGCGCTAAATGTGTGATCAATCATCTCCTGGAAGGGTTTTCTCAGTTCTGAGTCTTTCCAAAACGATTGAAAACACGCTCAAAAATGTCCCAATCAGCGAGGTGTGTCTGGTCACAGGAATCAGAGCAGGAACTGAATGGCTGCAGCATATGCCAGATTTAATGCAAAAGAAACTGCAAGACAACCTTTAAAATTAGTCTGCTATTTTTATTGTTCTGCTTGTACCTTAACTACGGCATCAGACTTGCTAATCTGGAAGACTGCAGAGCCAGTGACCCCATGACTATCCGCAGACCATCTGAAGTACTTCTTAAGAGTGAAAGAGTTTCCTCATATTCTACTGTTTGCTCTGAAAACAGGGGTATAAACAGTCGAGGAATACACATCTTGTCTCATCTTCTGGGAGAACTGTATAACAGACATAAGCACGTGGCACAGCTCAAAGTATGGGTAAGACAGTCCTGACCTGGTGACCGGCCCCTCAGCGACAGCACTTGGTGGTTCACCTTTCAGAAAACCCATTTCCCTCAGTTTTGGATGGCCTGACCATCCTGACACCCAGGACTCTCCTTTAGGGTATGGTCCACAGCTGTCTGTGACCCTGGGCCTTCTTCCTGGCCAGTCACTTCCTAGTGCTTCTCCGATGCCACGGGATACCCCAGCCAGATGTTCTTCCAAAGCAGATGACAGAACCTTGCTTACAGAGGCTGCTGGAGCCAAACTTCTCCCCATTGATTCCTTCAGATACTGAAGCACTCTGTACCCACTGTGAAGCATGAGGTCAGCCCCACTCTGATCATGTTTCATTCCCAAGGATGCCACCACCGTGTCCTGTGACTTTCCATCAGTATCTGCTCCAGGCTGATCTGTCCAGGAAGGCACATCTGCTGGGCTGGGGCTCCCCTTCTGGCTTCTCTTCTTAAGGCCACATGATAGTTTGTCCAAGTCACCTCCTTGTGACCTCTTTACGTTTTCCAGGCAAGTACCTAGGGTCCCTCTTCCACCTCTCATGCTCTGGGCCCTCTGATGAGTGAGTTGGGGTGATGCCTATGCCTACTAGTCAGGGATGGCCTTCAGTGGATCTCAATATGAACCTAGAAAAGACAATCAAATGAAAATTCTGTGACAGGGGGTTATTAAAATATTTACACACACAAAATATCATCAAACACTAGTTCCTTGAAGAGTGGGACCACAGAGCTGAACACAGAGAATGAGAGGCACTAACCACTGTCACAGGGCATCTGGGCTCTGTAGTGAATTCCAGACTAGTGTAGGCTTACTTACAGCATAGAGATGGAGGCAGGAGTATCACAAGTTCAAGGCCATCCTTGACTACAGAGTGAGTCTGAAGTCAGCCTGGGCTATATGAGACCCTGACTCAAATAGATAAAAATGTAAATAAAGTATACATAAAGATACTAATAATCCCCTTGGTTCCAGGTCTTATAACCCCCAGTCCCTGTTTTAAGTCTACAAAAGAATACTGTTAAGGTAGGGCAAACAAACCTGCCTAACAGAGAGGAGTTTGAATTTCCAAGTTCAAGGGAAAAATAACAAAGTCCTGGGAATCAGCTATTCAGATCCATTCCTTCACCCCCACTGAAGATGCTAAGGGCTCACAGTCTAACAGAGGGGTGGGAGCGAAGGCTCCCAGGCATGCCCACGTTCCTCAGGGCAGTCAGATGGCATCTTCCTGTATGAAGCAGCCAACCTGCTGAACGACAATAGACCTGACCCAGTTAGGCAGCTGTTGCCCTGCTGGATGCCTGTCTCCTCACCTTCCTTAACCCAGGCTATTAATGGCCTCGGGCACCTGACAGTCCAGACTACCACTGCTTTGTAACCTAAAAATATCCTGCCCCCAATACTTTCCAAAGCAAGCTAGCAAGTCCAGTCCTAAGGAGAAGTCACCATGAGTAGGGCAATGGGCTTGAGCAGGATCCTGTGGGCTGATGGCTTCAGCACACACTCTAAGAGGACCAAGCCTGAAGCTGTTAAGTGGATCCTGGCAGCAATGGGTCCTGAATAGGGAATCAGCTGGAGGCTGTAAATTTTTGCACACTACCAAGGATGAGGAAAGGGCCAATACTACCCTTCTGATTGAAGCTGATTCATGACCACAGGGAGGACACATCCCTGAGTTTCTTCTACTGACCAGGCAAGCATCTTTGCATCACACCCCATCTCACAAAGCCAGATGTGCCTTATGGCCACACTTTGTCTCCTGGTCACACAGTTGCCCAAAGGAAGATTCAATAGGGAGAAGCCACAGCCAGCTCTGAGGGAGCTGGGCAATTTGGTATCCTCAGGAAAGGTCACAATTTCTCACTGTGTTGTGGGCTGAGCATCCTCTTCAGTCAGCATCCAGAGGCAGTGACAGCAGTGGCAGCTTTTGTACTAGTATCGGCAAGTGTCTCAGGGAATGAATGAAAGGCGCTGGAGGTTTGCTAAAGCAAAGGGCCAAAAGGGGACTCAACAGACAAGCACATCTAAGTGGGGCAGCAGAGGTCAAACCCGGACTAGGGCTGTTGAGTAGGGAACAGTCTACCCAAGGCAGGCCCTGCACTGCTGGTGAGAGTAGGCTGGTAAACTGGGAAGTCTCAAATGCTCACCCTGTTTACTTGGGATTCAGCTCCTAGGATTTCTTTGCTACAGATTCAATCAGCTGCTCCCCAAACCTGTCCCTGAGTCAGGTGCTATTCTAGGTTCTAAATCGAGGACAGCAGAACAAGCAGACAGAGCAGATCCAAGTTTTCCTTCTAGTGATTCATTAACCCACATGCACAAACCTTGCTGTAACACTGCTCAGAGGTCAGACTATACCCACACCTCATAACATGTACCAGGACAAACTGCAAGCACGAGGGACTGGAGAGGGCATGGCGGTTAAGAATGCTTATTGCTCTTCCACAGGACCTGAGTTCAATTCCTAGCACTCAAAAGGGCAACTCCCAGGGATCCAATACCCTCTTCTGGCCTCCATATGTACACATGCCCACAAATAAAAATTTCAAATTAAAATGACAATAAGAGCTGGAAAGACCTCAATTCCAGTTCCATATCTGAGGAAAGGGGGCTTTTATTCCCAGCACTAGGGTGGCGGAGACAGGCAAATCCCTGAGTCTTGCTGGCCACCAGTCAGCCTAGCCTACTGGTCAAGTTCCATCCAGTCCAGTGAGAAAGAAACAAGATAGACAGCATCTAAGGAATGACACTGGAGGTTGTCGTCCTCAGCCTCCACATACACACGCACTGCCCCAGAGTGTTAAAATGAGCCCAGCATGGTGGTGCATGGCTTTACTCTCAGTACTCAGGGAGAGTGCAGAGAAAGGAAGATCAGGAGTTCAAGGTCATGCCCAGCTATTCAGTAAGTCTGAGGCCAGTTTAGGGCTACATAAGAACCTGTCTTTAACCTTCCTCTTCTAATCAATAACAAGGGACAAGAGAGCTATAACACAATGGTGGAATGCTTACCTTGGCTTGCACAAGCCTGTTAGTTGGTTGGGGTTTTGTTTTGATCTGTTTTGTTTTTGAGACCACAGTCTCACTATGTAACCCTGGCTAGTCTAGAACTCACTATATAGACCAGGCTACCTTTGAATTCAATGAAATTTGCCTGTTTCTGCTTCCCAAGTGCTGGTATGCACAGACATACCTGGATAAGCCCTTGATTTGATCTCAACAAACAACAACAACAACAACAACAACACACACACACACACACACACACACACACACACACACACACACAGTGTGGTGGTACATGGCTATAATACCAGTATAGAGGAGGCCAAGACAAAGAGGTTTTCCAGTTTGAGGCCAGCATGGACTACATGTCAAGAAATCTATTTCAAAAACATACGAAGTAATGGCACCAGAATATATGTGAATAAAGACTTTCTAGTACAGCAAACATCAAACATGAAAAAGGATTGTTAAACTTCAGAGATCTGGACAGAGGGTGCACCAGTCAATAGCACTTGTTGCTCTTGAGGAAAACTGGTGTTCAAACACAGTACCTGCAAGGCTGTTCACAACCACCGGTACCTCCAGGGGAACTAATGTCCTCCTCTGGCCTCTTAGGGCACTAGGCATGCAAATGGAGCACTTACACATACACATAAAATAGAAATAAATAAATCTTTAAAAACAACAATTTCTGTGGGAGGAGGGAAGGGAGAGGGAGCTGGGATTGACATGTGAAGCAACCTTATTTCTAATTTAAATTTAAAAATTAAAAAAAAAGACTAAAAAAAATTTCAGACTGAGCATGATGGTGCCTACCTTGAATCCCAGCAAGTAAGTAATATCACTTCCTGTGTTAACATGAGAACCTGAGTTCAAATTCCCCACACTCACACAAACAAATAAACTCACACTCCAAAAAGGTATGTGTGACCACATGAGCAACTGTAACCCCAGCATTTCCAGGATGGAAACAAAATCTCCAGCGGTTGCCCCAGCTGAAACATTGAGCTTCCAGTTCAGTGAGATGCTGTCTCAATGTGCACTTGGAAACATGCATCCACACTTGTGTGCATGCACCAAACACACACACACACACACACACAGAGAGAGAGAGAGAGAGAGAGAGAGAGAGAGAGAGAGAGAGAGAGAGAGAGAGAGAGAGAGAGGGAGAGAGAGGGAGAGAGAGCAACAGTATTCATAGTCAGATAGTGACAACAACCCAAAGGTCCAGCAGCCAACTGAAGGTTATCTGGAGAAACAGCAACTATTAATAGACTCAAAGTGAGATCCAGCAGTGGTAATGCAAATTGGTGAAAGATATGGTGGGGAGGTCTATAGGAGCTCTCAAACCTGTTTCTTTATCATTTCTTTTTTTTTTCTTTTCTTATTTACTTATTTATTTTAAACAGTCTCAAATAGCCAGGCTGACCTCAAACAGGCCATATTGCTGAAGATGACCTTGAACTCCTGATCTCTTGCTTCCACTTCTTGAGTATGGGGATTACAGGCCCAGGACATCTTGTCTGTATGCAGGGCTGGGGATGGAGCCTAGGGCTCAGGGCATGCTAGATGAGGTCGCTTCCAGCCAGGCCACACCCCCTGTGCCTTATGCACTCACCTGTCCACAGACTCGCTGCTACTGCTTATCAACACTGAAGTAGTGGGCTTTGAATCCATTTTCAAACCTCTCAGGTGTATACCCAGAAGCAGACTTAGTAGACTGTGGGTTAAGTCCACGTTCAACTGTGTGACGTAACTCTGGGCTCTCACAACAGCTGAGCATTTTACATCCCAACCAGCAGCACACAAGGACTGAGGACACACACCTTCACCAGCATCTGTTTCTGCAACCTCTCCCCCCACCCTCCACCTTGACAACAGCCATCCTAACAGGTGTGGAGTGGCCTCCCACGGTTCCTGAGTGACCCGCTTTCTCCTGGAGCCCAGGATCTTTTCAAGGACACACTGGCCATCTGTGTACCTTCTTAGATAAATCTCTATGCCAGCTCTTTCAATAACTGGATTGAACTGTTTGGTTATTGTTTTGTTGTTTTTATTTGTAAGAGACCTTTTCTGCTTAGAGTATTAATTCTTTACCAAATTAGTTTCCCAACAAATGCTTTCTTCCATTCTGTGGGTGGTCTTTTTCTCTTTCTTCCCCCTGACGTTAAAGATGGACCCAGAGCCTCATCCATGCTAAGCTAACATTTGACCACCAAGCTACATACTCAGCTCCTCCAAATTCATTCTTTTGCATGTAAAAGTGGTTTATTCAATTCTACCATATCCTACAAAACTATCAAGGGATGAAGAAACCGGATCTTCCCTCCCCAGTGCCCAGCACACACTAAGTGCAGCCCCAACAGTAAGCAGTTTTGGTTGTTTTGTTTGTTTGAGACTGGGTTTCTCTGTGTAGCCTTAGTTGTCCTGGAATTCACTGTGTAGACCAGGCTGACCTTGAACTCACAGAGACCCACCTGCCTCTGCCTCCTGAGTGCTGGGATTAAAGGCGTGCGCCGCCACCACCGCCGGTAGGAGCAGTAGGAACAAGAGGCTCCTGTAGGTTGTGCTCTGACCTCCATACACACTTTATGTCATCCATGTGCACAGATCTCTTTTAACA